ATATTTCTGGTAAGGCTGGGGGGCCCAGCTGAGATCAGCGCTTGCACTGGACCTACGTTTGGAAAACAGGCGAATCTCAGACTGCGAGCGGTGACCGATGATGGAAAATGCACTAAGGACTTCTATCGCCCTACCTGGACAGATATATATATTTTTAATGTGCGTGTGTATATTTTATTTTAAAGAAGAAAAACCAAAACCACTAAGATACACAACATCTCGGGGAACAGAACACAAAAATTAAAAAAAACAAAACAAGAAAAACAAAAACCAACAACAAAACAAAGAAGCCAAATGCATTCCCCACCTCCCTTTCCCCTCCTGCTCCTGGTGCTGACTGGAAGGTGTTTGGATTGTGGGGAAGGAGCGGATGGCGGCAGCATCATCTCCACGCCCCTGGCCCCTCCGAGGGGAGCCATCTTTGCACATGCTGGTGGAGAATTCAACTTTCCAGGCCTGGACTCAGATTATTTTTTAAATTCGCTCTGTGTGCGCGCGCGTGTATATGTGTGTGTGTGTGTGTGTGTGTGTGTGTGTGTGTGTGTATACGTGTGCATGCGTGCGTGTGTGTATGTGTATTTATACATACATATATAAATAGATATATATATATGTTCTTAAATGGTATCATTCCCCAGTGGCAAGGAGGTTCAGAGGCATGTGCATGGGAGAAGAAGCACACTGTTACTGCAACATGCCTGCGAGGCCCGGGACGGGACGGGCAGAGACATCATCTCATCTTCCTCAGTCTTCTTGCCCTTTTCTCTCTCTCCCCCCAGCACAACTTCCTTGCAGGAGGCGAAGTGGCACCACAACAAGACCAGCAACAGCCAAACTTAGAAGCATGACTTAATCTCAGTGAGCTGTCCTTGCCTGCTCTGTGGTCCTGAAAGCAGAGTCATGCCATTGCCCCAAGGTTTTTTAACCCCTTCACGGGGCCATTTCTCTCTCCTTGCCAATGTCCCCTCATCTCACAGCTTTTTTCTTTCCTCACATTTTCCCCCTCAGATCCCTTCTGGATTTTGTCCGTTCCCAGCCCACCTAGCTTGGAAGTTGGTCCAAGTCATAGACAGTCTGCGTAGGTATAGAGAAATAAATGAGGATGGTCTTTGCAGCTGGCAGCAGCTGTCTTGAGACAGAAACCAGGAGGACTTTTAAGTGAGGAGGACTCGGAGGAAAACTGGAGGGTGAGTTGCAGAGTCCCCCCAAGGAAAGGAACTCTGCAGGAGGGAGGAGAGGACCCTCAGAGCAGGGGCTATTCCTGCACACCCAGTTCTCAGCCACCATTAGCAGTACATTACACATGATGGGATTGCCCCAGTGTCACCGCCAATTCCTGGTCTTGATTTGTGCCGTGCTGGGCTCTGCATTTACCCATGAAGAAAATGCTGGTGCAGAGCTGGCGCAGCAGTCGTACCCCCATCCCTCCTGCCTCCAGCCATTCTCCCCTTGCACACACACACTCCCGTATTTGGGGCAAAGCCCCAGAGGGAGCCGGGGGTAGGAGCAGCGCCACAATCTGGGAGCTGTCATAAGTTTTGGAGGGATGCAGCCCTCGCCTCCTGCAAGCCCACAGCACTTCTTGCACACTGCCAAGGCGACACGTTGCTCCCTCCTTCTATCCCCTGAAGTCTTAAGACACTTTGTTTTCCTGTTCCAAAATCTGTTTCCTTTGGTTTGTAAAGATGGTGAGGTTTTATTTTATTTTGATTTTTTTGCCTTTTTTTTTAAATGTAAGATTAATTTATACTCAGTACTGTATTTAAAGTTGTAAAAAAAAAAAAAAAAGAAACCAAACCTCTCAACAACATTTTCTCTTTCTTTTGTGAGCGGAATGAAATGCAGAGGCCAAACCAGCTCAATGTGGGGCAGAGTGGGATTCCCAGGGCCTCCCATTTGGTTTTCAGGACACTTATTCTGAGACTGCAGAGAGAAGCAACCAAAGCTGGGAAAGTCCTGGGAGCCCACACACAGCCCTGCCCACGGCCGCCCTCCTCCTTCCCGCCTGTCACCCAGCGCTTGGGCTGGTTTGAAATGACTCAGGTGCTGGGGATTTTGTCTCAAAGAGGTCCCCTTCTCCTTAGCTGCTGGGTTCGGACACCCAGCCAGAACTTCCCTGTGCTTTCATCCCATCTCCGGATTCCTCAGCTTTGAAGGGCCTGGGACAGTCGGCAGTGTTTACAGTCCCCAAAGCTGTACAAACAGTCGTCCCCTTCCCTCCTTAGTCACATCGTCTAGACAACGGCGGTCCTTCCCTCTGTCGGAAAGGCCTTCACGTTTCCCTTTCCTTCCAGGGAGGCATCAAACATCTCGCACTTTGGCAGCGAGGGAGGCTACTGCCCCCTGCCTCAATTTTGGGCCCACCCCAGCCCACACACAGGACCCCCAGTCTAAGGTTCAGCTCTGAGTAGCGTAGACCCAAGTGGGAACTTGTTCTGCACCAGTGAACCTGGGGAGCTCGGGGTCTGTGTGTGCTCCAAGGACAAACCTGACACTCCCGTGTGTGCGCCTCACTCCAGTGTGGTTCATTTTGGGGTGAGGACACATTTCTCCATGACCCTCCAAAGGGAGCTGGAGTAGGGGTGAGCTCTATCACCCTCCAAGGGTGGAAAGCACAGGCAGGATCACAGAGAGGACAATAACCACATCCTTGCTCTGATTCCCTTAGGACAGTTGGATGAGAAGAAGGATTTTTGGCATGAGACTTCTTTGGCCTCAAGGGTCTGCCAGCAGGGAATTTGGGGACCAAGGGGTTGCAAAGAGGCCTGCAAAGAGATGTGGATGCATTAGCCTGGACCAGGGGCAGTAGGAAGGGCTCGGCAGTCCCGGGGGACAAAGGTGCGTAACCCCATCTGCAGGGGCGCATCTGCTTTCAACAGCTGGAAATGAAGAGGTGCCGAAAGATGGCGCAGGCCAGGGCGCCTGGAGCTGACACCTCCGCAGTGCCTGGTGTCCGCTCACGGCAGCTGCTGGGGTGCTCGGCGTGCCTCGATGCACATTCAGTACAGGTCAGCGCTGTGCAACAGGTGATTTTGGAGGAGCCGGGGAGCCCTGGCAACACTCCCTGGTTTAATATCTTGTTTGCTGCTTTACCTAAAGGCCTGGCCTCAGGATGTGTCACTCATTGGGAGGCTCAACCTTTTTTGAAGGAAACACATCTAGCCTTCAAGGCGGCTTCAGCAATGGGTCCTCCTGTGACAACACGGCTCCCAAAAGTGGCAGACAGGTGGAAGAGTGAACTTACAGGCTGTTCAGGCACGAAAAGCAAACCCCATGATATAAAGCCAGGCTTTAAGCTTTTTAGCATTGAGGGTGAGCAGCGCTAAAGCTGCCGCATGGCTAAACGAACAAAAAAATCAGTTTGCAAGAGTTTCCTTGCCAAGCCCAGGAAAACCCTTGACTGTTTTCTTGGTTTATTGGCGCTTGGGAATGCGAGTGGCTTGAGCTCAGCCCCACGCCTGGCCATGGCTTGAAAGAAGCGGCCTCTTCAGCCCAGCCGTGTGGCACAGAGCCCGCTCAGGCATAAGCCGTGCCCCCCACGACAGCCACCCTGTCTCTCTGCCCAACCTGCCCACGCTCCGAATGCGGCTGGGAAGGGCTCAGTGGGAGCCATCGCCATCCCACGGGATCCTGGGGTGGGATGGGGATGTCTCAAAGGTGGCCCTGGGTCACTGTCCTTGCCCCACTGCCTGGTGGGCCCTGGGGGTGGAGAAGCTGGCTGTGCCAAGGGGAAAGCAGGGCACAAAGAGGGAGGAAAATATGAAGAATTAAAAGCTATTTTGGAAAAAAATACTAACAGAAAACCTGAGACCGACCACGCAGCTGTTTCCCACTTGCCTTCATGCTGCCCGTGACCAAACAGAGCTGGGCTCCCCTCTGAGCTATGATCTGCCCGTGACCAAGTGTACTCATTGCAGTCTTGGGAATTTCCCATCTTAAAAGACATTGCAAGGAAGCCAGGCCTCTTTGGCTGGTGTTGACTTTCATCACAGGGTTAAAGGAATAGCAAAGCCTTCCAAAAAATGAGCAGGAAGAGGGTGGGAAGTGGAGGGAATCCCAAATGCCTCCCTGCAAACGCTGCAGGTGTTGGGTTAACATGAGACCCCCAGTCGCAGCAGTGGGTCCAGGGGGCTCTCAGCAGAGAAGCCAGGAGGGCAAAGACATCAAAATACACTTGACAGTTGATGCACATTTTGAAATGTTTGCTGTGATATTTTGGGGTTTTTTTTTTTGCACGCGCTGCAAAAACCAAGGACAGGCAGTGCAGAGATGCTGGGCAAGGAGGTCTTGCCCTGGCACCTTTGGAAACTCCCAAGTCCCCAGATGTTGCGACCTTCTGCCCCGGCCACTGCTGACTCATGCAATGCAGTGAAGACAAGCTCTGCTCCCCAAACCCAAGCTCTGCTCCCAAACCCAGGCCCTGCCCGGGTGTTTTCTGCATGAAGAGAAACTATTTTTCAGTACAACCTGTGCCAGGTGCCTGCATTGCCCCAAGGCCTGGGCTGGCTGCACATATCCAGATAAAGCAGAATGGGGAACAGCCACCCCTGTCCCTCTCCAGTGTGGCCCCAGGAGCGCATCTTTTGGGGCAAGAGGGGCCTATGCCTTTAAAGCCTGCAGAGGTGTTATTTAGGTGGAAAAAGTGTTTCACTGTGGCGATGGAAATTGTTTGTATTTCACTAATTGACCGAGGAGAGAGAGACAGAGAGAGAGAGAAAAGACCTTCCTTCCCTCCAACA